AATAGTCGACTTTTAAACTTGCCATGCATACCACAATGATCGAGTGTTTCGCGATCGATGTCAATTCTATCAGCTTTTTTGGACTTACCCACAGTGCATTAATGTTGTGAAATACTACAAGCCTGTGGTCCTAATTGATGGGACATTCTTGTATGGAAAATACAAATAAGTTTTACTATTTGTATATATCCAAGATGGTAATCGCAACATGCTTCCATTTTCTTTTTCCCTTGTTGAAGGTGAAGATACAAATTCTTGGGCTTTTTCCCTAAGAAACTTATGCTTAGATGTTGTTACGAGGAAACAAATCTACATCATTTCACAGTACGGAGCTGGGATCAAAGCATCAATAGACTCTTTGGATCCAATGTGGCAACCACCCCATGTCTAACATCGATATTGTATCCAACATATTGTCGTGAACTATCATGTAAAATTTAAGAAGAATGATGAACACCAATTACTTATGCGCATGGATATGTCACAATGCCTAATTTTATTTCTCATTAATTTTCATTTTTATGGAAACTTAACGGCAAGTACTACATTTGATGCATGTTATCCGTCCAGGAGTGGGATGATGATGATATTGTGGCGGTGGACGCTTTTCTCGACACCAATGAATGCTCCCGCCTTTTGATTCCTCAGAAAGTATGAATGACTTCCCGTTCATGTTGAACAACTCATAATAGTCAGCCGCAATCGAATAACGCTCTACATAAATCGGCTCCCTAGGTGGAATACGTCCACACCGATCCTCCCAGATCATTATCCACTCGCTATGCTTCAGCTGCTAGTTAACATCCTTTTTACCCCATCTATTGACGTTATGCATATTGTTGAGATTCTTAGATGCTTCAGGAATGTGTTGTACAAAACCAAATTGCTGACGCGATTAATAGAATGCCACTCAACAATAGCATAATGTATATCAGAGGGATCACCGCCATCCATACATCTAATGAGCCACTCAAGTAAGGTGGGATGCAAAGCTTCATTTCTTGAGTAGAATAAGGAGCTCATTCAAACTAAAACATATATATATAATTCTTATCAAAATAATATTTTAATTATATAACAATAATTAAAGGTAAATAATAAAATTTAAATATATATCTCAGTATCAACCTTCTGATTAATGAGTAGCCGAATTTCTTCCAATTCATCTGGTATATCACAATGATTTTTCCTTGTACATGACCACCTATTCAAAGTAAAAAATTATTTCATTATATACTCAAAAAATTATTTATATACAAATTCATTATTGAAATTACCTCAACAATAACGAGAAGACTAATGGGTTATTCACGACCGGACATTAAAAGGGCATTCGATACCACGCCCATGATTGGAGAAGAAAGAAACATCTATCGATAGCATTTTTTTATAATCAGTTGCCTAACACATTTATCTATACAGAGATGTCAAAACTGTAGAGTCCCAACTGAGTCTGTCGACAACGTGAAAATCTTAGAGGTGACGCAACTACATACAATGAACTTGGTTGCGAGATTTATCGGGCATCAAGATCCCTCCTATGAATTGTAATATGCAAGACCGGGTAAATATTTTAGCCTAATCCTCAGAACAGTCTTCACTTAAATATTTTAGCCAACCATGATAACGGTATTCGATCACCGTTGAAATTAGGCGGGATACCTCAAAGATACTTCTCGCACAAGAAATGCCAATGACCATCCATCACACTAGAAATAACATCCACAACTATCGAAAGCCCCAAATGTATGGAAACATCCTCCAGCATAATAATGCACTCTCTACACGAAAGATGGAATGTGTATGTCTCTAGTCTCCACCTCTCAATTAGTGCATAAATAAGGTTGGATTCAAGGTTATAGTGCCCTTCATATTTCTCTATGTAACTGAATCCAACCTCATCCAAATACGGCCAGACACAACTCGGTATCTCTAACTTAGCATTACGAATAAATGAATCTAATATACGGTCATTCCCCTAATTAAATAAGTAATATACAAATTAAAATATAAACTAATACTAAAAAAATAAATAAAACATTCACAATAATTAAAATAACACAATTTAAAATTGTTACCGTATCGAAAAAATGACTCTAGATATGATTCTCATCTAAACGCAACAACCCGCCTTCCATTTTATAACTGCAAAAAGTAATAAGAAAATTAGTAAATTAAATAATATACTATTAAATTATTATAATATAATAAAAAATTATAGCTTCTAAAAACGATGGTAAAACTTACTTAAAGCTTGCTACAATAATTGATAAGAAAGATAATACATTTTTTTGTGTGGTTTGAGTGTTGTATGAGAGGGTGTTTATAGGAGGGATGGGGAGGGGGACGGGCGGTTAAGCGATATTAAAGGGGGTATGTGGTAATTTAGTGGAAAGTTTGGATCATGATTCGTGCCTTCTGTCACGTGTCAAATTTCCCGCTGAGGCACGAATTATAATCCGCGCTTTTCCACCGTGACGCCAACTCGGACAAAACCCCAGGAAGACACGCTTCATGATTTGTGCCTTCTGTCCACGTCTGCAAGGCGCATATCCTGAAGCGCTCTTTATTATCACTTTGTAAGAAAGGGTGTTAAATCGATAATATTTGGAGAAATGGTGTCTAATAGTTAATTATTGATTGTTTGAGTGATTTTTTTTTTTTGGATAAAAACATCTTTATTTTAATTGTTTGATAAGAAGTTGTAAGCGATAGAAAAAATAAAAATCACACGTAAGAAAGACGGGGGTTGGGCAATGGATAAAATATATTGAGGAAAGCGGAAGTGGCATTAGCAGAGGCCAGACGGGGTGATTGTTTTTGTTGCTTACAATCAGACAGTGACATCCGGGACCCCGCTTAGGAACCCAGGTCTCCATTTATAATTACCCCAACATCCCTCCTCTTTTTTCTAGCTCAACTTCTGCACTTGCTTCCTCAATTTGTCCAAAGCTCCTTTCATTTACAACAGGTAACTTTATTTATTTCTATATTTTAATTTAATTTTTGTTTTCCTTTCATTTGCTTAGGATCTGCTTCTTTATAGAAAATCCATATTTGATTATCCATGATTAGATAGATGTAATTAGGTATTGAATAGCTGGCAAGTAAAGTCATTGATTTTTGAGCCGGAAGGTCCTTCCTATCTGTTCGGAGCTAAACCCTCCTTAATTTAGCCTTCCGTTGCCTTAGAATCTTTGTTTCATCATCGTTGCTTTTTACTAAAGCAACGCAGGGAAATGTTGGCCATATAATTGAACATAAAATGCCAAAGTTAGACCTTCCCTTGATAAGTGGGCCATGGTAATTTCATTTTGCTAAATTTCAAAACCAATAAACAACTATTATCTCTTAAGTTTTAAAATATTTTATGCTAAGTCTCTAAATTATGATTTCATCTTTAATTAGTGTTGAAAGTTTTCAAACTATCAATATCAAAAATTTTTTAACTTTTTTATTATGTATTGTTGATTCTGATAGTTTTGTAAGGCCTTCGAAATTGAACGTGTGATCTTCTAAAAAATATTTTTTGTGTGAAGATTATGGGTCTAACTCTCAAGACCCTAAAAAAATAGATTAATTTTTATAAATTAGTAGAGTTAACAAAATTATAACGAGACGGTTAAAATAAAATGATACTAATAAATTGATGATTGATATAGAGGGTTTTAAAATTTTATGCACTAGTTTTAAAGTTTTAATATTTAAGGATCAAATTAGAATTAAATTACAGTTTGGGGATATCTTTTAAATTTATATCTATTTTTATAAAAATTATACACTTGTAGAAATTGAAAGCTATATACTAATGTTTTATTTTTTTATAGATTTGAGATAAATACAAAATAATATTTATTTTTTATAATCTTAATTATGTAATAATAAAAGTTTATACCCCTAACAATAACAATAACGATGCCAAATCTAAAATTTAAAAGAAAAAAACAAATCTCTTAATGATTAGGTTTTATCTCTATTTTTATAAAAAAAATTATACACGCGTAGGTATTAAAACGTTTATTACAATTTTTAATGCGTTTTTATAAGGAAAAAATGATTCCACTCTCCTAAATGGATAAACACGCAAGAAATCATTACAACAATATGATGTTATTCAATTAATAAATATTCACATGTACCTACCATATCAATAGTGGATAAGCAACCTCTAGAGTCATTCTACCATTTTACATCTCAACTTCTGCATCGCTTTCCTTTTATTCTATCCTGTCTATGCACTAATAAAATATGGATCTGACAGCTTTAAAAAAATGTTTGAGTATTTAAAAGGCTTTTTTAATCAAATTATTTAAAGGTCTTTTGAAAAGTAATTAAATGCTAATCATGTATTAACGTAATATGTTAAAAAAATTATTTGAAATAATAATCTTTAAAAAAATTTGAGTATTCGTCCTCATTTAGTTTTTATTCTGCCGGTTCCCTCCCAATCCCACGGCCCACCACCGCCAACCTGAAAGATAAAAACAATGGTGCCCTTGAGAGCAAGGGAATCACGCAAACGTTACACGTTACAAAATGGATTTTGCTTGAGAAAACTTATCGTCAGATATATATTATAATTTGATTATATTAATTTTAGATTTTACTGAAATAGTATATTATATAAAAAATGATGTAATAAAAAATGTACCTATCTTATTTTAAAATGTTTTTTATTTTAAATTTTTTTATATAATTTCTTTCAAAAACATTTGGGTGTCAACAATATTTTTTTAATTAACCTAGTGTATTTATAAGTGATAACATATGTTTTAAAAACTTTCAATTATTTAACAATATATTTTTAATATCATGCAATCTTTGATTTTTAAATTTGAAATTTCTTAAAAATAAAAATTAGTTCTTTAATCATTAAGATACCCTAATCCGTGATGTCAATAATATTAAAATTATTCTTTTATAAAATAGTTCTTAAAGGAGTTTCTTTAATGCACGTCATGAGAGTCGGATGCAGACATTCTTTTAACAGATAATGCAAGAAACTCTAATGGACAAACAAAGAAAATATATATTTATTTGCTTTCTAACAGCAACAGGTAACTTCCAGCACAGCAAACATGTCGTCACACCACTTCTCTGAGCTAGACTCCACCACCGACTCCGTCGCGTCCTCTCCACGCTCCGAACACCTTGCTCCTCAAGATGCCCATACACGTGTACGGTTCATGTGTAGTTTCGGCGGCAAAATTCTCCCTCGTCCGCACGATAATCAACTCTGTTATGTCGGCGGTGATACGCGCATTGTCGCCGTCCACCGCTCCACTCCCTTCTCAGCGTTCCTCACCAAGCTCTCCAAACTCTCAGGCAACCAAATATTTAGACAACACTCTTTTTTTAATCATCTCATTTCCACATATCATATTTATAATTTCGTTTTGATATTTTTGTTTACTGATTAGGAATTGGCAACTTGAGTGTTAAGTATCAGCTCCCAAATGAGGATCTTGACGCGTTGATTTCAGTGACTACCGAAGAAGACCTGGAGAACATGATGGATGAATACGATCGGTTAGCACAGAATCACAACCCTAGGCTAGCTAGGATTCGTGTTTTTCTTTTCTCCAAAGACGATGATGATGGATCACGACCAAGTAGAACCAGCTCACTTTTGGAAGGCTTGGCTAATCGTGAACATTGGTTCTTCGATGCACTGAATAACGGAGAAAACAGTTCTGGGCTCGAACGTGGCCGTTCTGAGGTGTCGTCTATCGTCTCCGAAGTTCCCGATTATTTAATTGGGCCAGAGAATTCCAATGATGTTCATGTTCGTGACCCGAAATTAAGGACTCCCCAGCTTTTGCATGAGAACGTCTCAGTTCCGGACACGGGTTCTCTTGCCCCGGGTGTTTCTGTTTCCTCTTCCTTTAGTTCGACGTCGGCAGCTCCTACTGTACTACCTTCTATGCTCGATCTGCGACCAGTTAAGACTAAACCGGATAACACCCAACATGTTTTGGAGTCAAAACATAGTCAAACGGAGAGTTTTGTGGAGCAACCCGTTTCGCAGCCAGTCGCATATTCGGGTAGCCCTATGTGGCATTATATTCCAGATTCTCGTTATTCTGCTCCTGCCGTACAACATATACCCGTTTATTATGTTCGGGGCTCTGCTCAACCGGGAAATCCTCCATTTCAACCAATTCAAGTGCAGGCCCAATACATCCAGCAATATCAAGTTTCCTCGGGTCAAATACCCATCGGGTACCATCAGCCGGCTACTGGTGTCGGTCAAGTATACAGGCCAGTTACATCTGTGGATCCTTATGACGCGGCGTTAAGAGTGGCCCCTGACGGTGTGAATCAACCACTATATTATGGAGTTAGGAATTTTGGTCCAGGTCCAGTTTACCCAGGAGTGGCTTCCCATGGTGGGGAAGAATTGACTATAAGTGCACCGGATATGACACCGGGTCGGATTTCCCAATCAGGACAATAAAAGTATTGGTCATATGGCAATAATGGCATGGTAGTTTTGTGCCTATTCACTAAGGTGCTTTTAATGTGTATCATGGATTGATGTATCTAGAAGAGTGATAATGTCATGACTCATTAGCTGAATATTGAACTTTGTAAAATAAAAACTCAGGTTATTGAATTTAATATTATAAAAAAAAACATATTTCAATATATGTTTAAAGTATTTTTTTTATCAATCAAAGGCGTATAACAAATGATATTATATATTCTAAAGACTTTTAATCATTTGATAATAAATACATAAATATCTTATAATCGTTCATCCTCGAATACGTAACTCCTAGGGATAAAACCATCTCTTTAGTCAAAGAAATCAATTGATTCTTGACATGTTCAAATTATGTATATAAAAGGCATAATCATTAAAAAGATATTAGTATATTAAATATACTCATATTATACATGTATAACTTTTATCTAATATTCATGAATATGAATAGCATAAATCAAAAGTGTGAGTTGGGTTTTAATTTCTTAAACAAAGAGATGGTTTGCGGCCCTAAGGCTAAGTATCACATATATGGTGTTTCCTTTGCTAGAATAATAAGGTTTTGCTGTATGTCTTGTTGGTTGTTTTGTTTCCTACTTAAGTAGTGTCCATCTACTTGACAGATATGCATCTCCAAGTATCTCAATTTTGTAAGCATAATACCAAAGATTGATATAAGATATTAGTTAATACTTTTGTTTTGGTATTACGTGTGCAATTTAGAAAGGACTGTAAGGTTGGGCTCTAGGATAAAGTTTCATTAAACTAACGAGCTCCAAAATTTCATGAAAATGTATTTTAGGCATATAGTTGGCAGCCATTGGCTCTAGGGCCTCAATCTTGATAAGGGCTTGGGAGTAGTATTGGGCCATTCACTCTTCCAATGCTGCATCAAGTATTGGATTAAAACCTGGCCTCCGGTGGATGCCAGGACACGTCCATGCTTAGAGAGGTCCAATACAATCCTCTTCCAGTCATCTGCCACTCTCATACAGCACAAAATTATTGTAAACTACGGCCATGGTCCAAACTTCACAGATATAGAGACTGTCTTATCCCAAGGGTTGGCAAAGAAATGTTAGCTGACTCAATAAGATTGGAACCGAATTGAATTAACCAATCGTTGGTCCTCATCCGAAAGTTTCATGCGGGGTCGGAATTGAATCTGATGTCGACAACTGCGACAATCCCTCTGTCTTTGTTTTTGGGTTTTAATTACTGAATTAATTGGGCTTAGTGTAGTCACTCATTTTCGTTATGAGTTTTATTTAATATATACATAATATTTTTTGAAATTATATATATATATATTATGTAGTTTTGAAAATATTTTTGAAATTATATATAATATATAGTTTTGAAACATTTTTTTTGAAATTATATATAATATTTAGTTTTGAAAATATATATAATATATAGTTTTAAAAATATTTTTGAAATTATATATAATATATAGTTTTGAAAACATTTTTGAAAACATATATAATATATAATTTAAAAACATTTTTGAAATTATATATAGTATATAGTTTTAAAAACATTTTTGAAAATATATATATTATATAGTTTGAAAAAAATATTTTTTTTGAAAACATATAATATATAATTTTTAATGGCTTTGAAACATATAATATATATATATATATATATATATATATATATATATATATATATATTTTAGAAAGCATGTAATTTTATTATATTATCATTTATTTATTTTATTTTTCTTATTATTATTAGTTTTTGGTCCAAATCCAAGGGTCCGAAACAAACCCAACCGAACCAATAGGCCTGACCAAGCCAACCAGCCCGGTTAAGGGGCCTGACCAAGCCCAAAAGAAATTACATTTTCGTAATGAGGAAGGGAACTGCACAGGAGTGCGCGTGGAGATCACGCGCCAGCACGGTTCGTCAATCGGTCGGGATTTTCGCAAGGTCGGTGTAACAATCTGCACGAAAAATACTCGACCGAACATCCAGAAAAGAAACGGGAAGAGACCCCGCCCATCTCGGAGCTACAACGGTTGGATTCCAGGCTATAAAAGCCTCCGACCAAGCCGTGGTGAAACACAAGAGAGCAACACAGAAAACATACAAGATACAAAGACATCATCGAAACACCAACCGAGTAGCAAAGTAAAAAAAAAAAGCAATATTAACAAAGTAGACAAAAAGCCGAAACACCCAAAGCAAGAACCAAAGTAAATTTTGTAACATCTCAAAATCAGGGCTAGTGACTAAAATGTAAGTTTTGGAAACTTTGTGCCCAATTTCAAAAAATTGAAAAGATCAAGTATTTAATTGAGAATTTATTTAGGAGGATTGATTGGTAAAGATGAAAAAGATTGAAGGGCATAATGATCATTTGGTAGGAAATGAATTTTTAATTCATTCCCTTAGGTATTATATTTCCACGTGGAAGAGAAAAAATGGAAAAAGGAAATCTAGAGCATTCTCTTCATCTTTCTTCTTCTTCTCTCCACCGTGACACAATAGCTTGAGGTAAGGAAGATTTCAGATGTTTGTTTCTCATAAATTATGTTTGGTTTTGATTCTTTAGGGTGTGGAAATTATATGGAAGCTTAGGGAGTGACAGAAACTTAAATGAATGGTAAATTATGGGGATTTAACAAAAGGGGGTTTTTAAGTGAATTATTAGGAGAGAGTTTGTAATTGGATTTTGAAGTCATATTTGACTTGTCAAGGGTGTAATTAAGAAGATAGAAGTAGTTGAAGTGAATTAAAAACATGTTGAATAATTGATATGATTTTTGGCTCCAAGTGTTCTATGAGAATATTGGATGTTAAAGTGTGTTAAAGTGAAGTAAATTAGTTTAGGAGTTTATAGTTGAGTTTAAAGGCTTTATGGAAGAGTAAAATGGGAAAAATAGCAAAGTTTTTGGTAATTTTTGGGTTAAAAGAAGTGTAATTTGGGATAGTAGTATCGATACTGGTTGAGTAAGTACCGAAACTACAAGGTAAATTTTGGATAATTATGCGTGGGGTATCGATGCTGCATGAACAGTATCGATACCATAAGGAAGAAGAATGATAAATATTCATGGAGTATCGATACTGAAGTGGTAGTATCGGTACCATGAGTATCGATACCAATAAGGAGGTATAGGTACCATTTCTTCAAATGATATTACAAAATCGAAAATGGATATCGATACCGTGGAAGGTTATCGATACTACCAGTATAGAGGTATCGGTACTGTGCTTGTAGTATCGATACTACCTAAGTTGGAATTAAGGAACCAGTGCTTTGTTTAGTTTATATTAATAAGAATCTTTTCGAGTAATTCGAATTCCGATAATTATTGGATTTTATATATTCATGTAGATGACGATCGAGAACAGAGTCCGGATAAGTTGACCAAGTAATAGTCATCGAGAAAGAGATAAGAGATCGTTATGGACCAGTGAGGCCAGGTGAGTGCATACTATTAGGTATATGAAGTTTTATGGAAATAAGACTTGCGATGAGTCTATTTCCATATTAAAGTGTATGAATTCATGAATACAAGTATGTGTTTATAATGATTTTGTGGTATTAATATAAATGATTATATGAATATGTAATATAAATTAGGGAATGATGATCTAGGTGTTTATATGTCTATAAGAATATATAAGAATATATATATATACCAGGTAATATGAACTACGTAAGTTAAATGTTATGTGATATGGTATATATGATTATATGAAAATGTGCACATTAGTACATGTATAAGTTTATATGTTACTCTATGTGCTATGTAATATCTGGGAAACATATGTGAATATGATATGACATACATGTTTATATGAATACATGAGCAGTGATATAATCTATGTGACATATGATTATGAAATCATATGAAAAGTGACATGAACTACGCGAAAATAAACTACATGATTATATGTATATGTGAAATATGTCTATACCATATAAGTGAGATGAACTATCATAAATGGCCATGTTATGTGATATGAGAGCTAGGTGTATAGTTGACATGCCAAGAGTCTAGGGTTATATAGGTCTTTCAGGACATATACATAGGTCCTTCAGGATATACATGAAGTCATTCGGGATAAATTTTATATGCCACTAAGTGGGAATTATACGAGCTGTGGTAACAGCATATGTGCACAACCTCAAACTACTCATATACCTTAAGTTCCCAGAAATATACATGGGCTAATAAAGAGGTAATATGAATAAACTTGGTATGATGTGGTGTGTATTTCCTTGTAAAATGATATATGTATTATATGATGTATATGTTGTTATGATATGAAATGTATTACGTGATTCATATGAAGTTGTGTGTATTGTTTAGTTAAATGAATCATATGATAGTTAAGAATGTTAAGTACAAGAATATATGACTAAAAGATATGAATGAATATAATAATGATAAGAAAATGAGGTTAATGATGATACTGACAAGATATGTAGATGTATACAATTGACTATATGAAATGTGATATTATTTTGTGTGATGTAATTGATATGAATTTTCATGCATTGTTAATTAGTTAGAGTTTCATTATATGTTTTATTATGCCTCACTAAGTCAATGACTTAGCGTGTGAGTACTTCACACGTAGGTTCCAGGAGGATGAAAATGGATTGAAGACATGTTAGTTTTTCCTTTCCAAGAATCAGATTATAAAAGAATTGAATCATATGTATTTTATAATATTGATTGTAGTTGGCGTGTAAATAAAGATTTATTAGATTACGCTCTGATCAGCTTTGTAAATCTACATGATTGTATTCAATACAAGGTATTTAGTTTTTAATGTCAATTTGAATTATAAGCTATTTTGAAAAAGAAAACTGTTTAAAAAGTCTATGTGACACTTCGAACTCGTATCCGAGTCGAGTACGGGTTGGGGTGTTACATTTAGTGGTATCTGAGCTAAGATTTAGCCGATTATAGGTTTAAACCAAAGTTAAATGAGTTTTAAAATGTGTATATGCCCACACAGTGAAAATTTTTTGATCTGATAGTGTAAGGAGTGTTGTCTTGTTAATAGAATAGGATTGATATATATTATTATTAGAAATATGATTATGAGAGTTTTGAAGTAAAGTAAGAGGTGCTAGACCTGATG